ATAATATATATATATATATATATATATATATATATATATATATATATATATATATATATATATATATATATATATATATATATTATTCGATCGTTTAGTAATAATATCGAATATTATCGTATATAATATTCGATATTATTACTTTATCTGCTTACCTTAAGCTATACCGTTTTTTTCGAAAAAGAAGAAGAAAAAACGAAGAATGATGAATGAAACGATTGCTTCCCCATCCCAAACCCAAATTTTTTATTTACTTTTTTTAATTTAATAATTAAAAAAAGTAAATAAAAAATAATATTTTTTTATATAAAATTTGTATGCTGATTGTATTCTTTTCTTAAGAGTCATTTAGAGTTGAAAAAAATCATATTTTATAACGATTTAACAACAATGAATAGTTTTGATATGCAATTTATTCACGATTTTTATCAGTCCATTTAAATGAGAAACTAATTTGCTATGTACGCTATAACTATAAAGAGTTTTGTTGATTTTTTTTCTTAACATTTATTTGTTAATTGTTATTAACATTTATTAGGTTTATTTATTTTTTTTTTGCTATATTTGACGTTTTTTCTCAATACTTATATAATAGGAAAATAAGAAAATAAATTATTATTTACTTGTAAAAAATATTTTTTGATTAGTAAATTTTGTCAATGATTGAATAAGTTAAATAAAAGAATAACATTTAGTAACATGTAGTAATTACATTTATTAAAGAAAAATTAGTTTCTTTAATAAATGTAATTACCACATTAGATGCATGTCTGAAATTGTATCTTCTATATTGCCCAATTTCCAATATTAATACCAGGGCTGTGGAGTCGGAGTGGGAGTTGTGACATTTTTAGCAGAGAGGGAGTTGCTAAACAAAATCTCAACTCCAACTCCAATAGTCTATATTATTTTAGTGTCAAATAATTTACTATTTAAATAAATAAAAAATTAAGGAAATAACAATAAACTTTTGCAATTTTCAAGTTATTTATTTTTTCTAAAATTTAATTAAAAAAATTAAATTATTAATGCGCAAGAATATTAAACTTTATGTTTTTATATTTAAAGTTTTGAATAACAACGTTTAGTTAAAGGAAATTTTAATTTTGAATTTGTGTAACATAAGTTTCGGTACTTTTTCTTTAAAGGGATCCCAAACTTCCAACACATGTTGTGTTCATATTAAAGATAATGTTAAAAAAAAAGGTTTAAACCAAGTTTTTTTGATTAAAAATAAACAATGAATGCATACCGAGAAAAACTAATGTTGTTGTTTTAGTCAAAGCTTTCTCCCTTTTTTTAAATAACTCGGAGTCTTCAAATTATACGTCGCAATCTACAGACTTCAGCGATTCCTTTGAAGCGTGTTTAATTCATAAAAGTTTTAGTATTTGACGTCAGGGTAGACTTTTAACAAATGATAAGTGTAATTACACAAAGCTGTGTTTTTCTACTTTAATTCAAAAAGTACGATGTAGTATTTTTTTAACATACAGCAAAACAAATTTATTTGTATTATTTTTCTAAACATCACAAAAAAATTTTTGTAAAAAGTAAAAACAAAAAATTATTTTTATTTTATAGGAGCAACTTATTTTTTACAGATATCTTAATAATTTTTAGATTTATATATCTTACTTTAATTTCTATTGTTTTTAAGTTAAAACAAATATTAAAACTTTACTTACCAATCTTGATTTTCATACAAGTATTTTACATTATATAGAAAGTTTTATATTCAATCTCTCGTTTTTGTGCAAGAGAGCGCAGTATTATATATTCTGATTCTTACTTATTTTTATTTAAACTATGGGAACTATTTTCCAACTTCACTGGTTATTTTTACGACAATTTTATGTTTTTCCCGTCAAAAAAAAGTATTTATTAACAATTAATTTCATCAACTGACAGTATTAATTAGAGATATTTGATGAATTGTTAAATTTTTTTTATTATAAAACTTTTTTGATTACGCTGATTTAATTTAAATTGCTAAATTTGCTGAATATATATTTAATAAATATATATATAAGGAAATATCATCAAATATACATACGGATAAAAAGGAAATATCATTTTATTTTACATTTGTTTTTTGATAATGAAATTTTTAAAATGTCAGCAACTCCATAACAATTAGAACCTGTTAAGGTTATGAAAAAAAAAGTACAAGAATACACTAAACAACAGAGTTGACAGTAGTATCAGATATGAAAATTCGTGAAAGGATATGTGAGATCCTGGTTTTGCATTAAAAGTACAATTAATAGCAACACAAGTCGACATTATAAATTTTGATTTTAAGTTTACTGTTCAATATTTTATAACCATCAAATTAAAAACATGAAGTTTGTATATTTTGGCCTGTTTTATACAACTAATATTTAACAAAAATACGGACAAATTATTATTAAATAACGCAATAATTAACACATTAATTAATGGCAATAATTAAAGATAGATGGTAATTTAAATTGTCAAAATGTCATAATGCGCATTAAAAAACATATTATATTTGGTGTTTCCCAATTTGTGTAGTATTTGACATTTTTCACTTAACATAAAAAATCAAAAATTTTTTAAAACACAATTAACAAATACAAATTTTTAAGCAATTTTCATTTATTCAAAGAAAAGTTATTAAACTTTTCTTTCTCTCATCTAAAAAAAGAACGAGTGACGCAAAAAAAATATATATTCTATACAACTTTTATTCATTTAAAGTTTAATTACGCGAAACTTTTCTTTCTCTTTTGTTCTACTCTTTTATAAAAAGAGCACGCGATAAAATAAAAACTTTTCTTTTTTAACATAAAATTATACTTTAAGATAAAATTAAATTAGAAATAAATCAACAATGAGCAAAGCAACTAACAGATTAATCTGGGACTTTTAGATATTAATGAAAATAATCAACATAAACAACATTACTAACAACAATTATCAAATAAACAACACAATATCGCATAATTTTAGGGGCATTTTATTTTTATTGCTTAGTCATTCTAAATAATAAGTAAACTTAGTTCAAATTAATATTTCAATATTTACAGTTGCAATATAATAAAGAAACGATGTTTAATATTGAACTTTTTATTTAGTTATTTATTTTTTACCTACATTTGTTATAAAAAACTTTAGAACCCCCATCATTAAAATAATTTGTTTTAAATATATTTCTACGTGATTATTTAAACTAATTTTTTTATTTGACTTTCCGAACTTCATGCAAAGCAAATTGAAACAATATCGTCTAACCAAAATAAAATATCATCTAACCAAATAAAAATGCTGTTACTAATTTTATATGGGTAATTAATGTAAAACAATTTTTTATCATAGTCTTGATTGAGATAATAATTATTCATAATTTATAAACATTAAATATATGGTGCAATAACAATTTATAGCAACGAACCAGCATAAAATATTTGAGGTTTTTAATATCTTTTAAATGTTAAAAATAGAAAAAAAAAACTAAACAAATAATCAAAAAAATTTCGAATAAAAATAAATAAAAATATTTCCAGAGTTTCATTTGTTAAAATTCTACCGTGACATCAAATACTAAAACTTTTATGAATTAAACATGCTTCAAAGGAATCGCTGAAATCTGTAAATTGCGACGTATAATTTGAAGACTCTGAGTTATTTTAAAAAATGGCAAGCTACAGCTAAAACAACAACATTAGTTTTTCTCGGTATGCATTCATTATTTATTTCTAACCAAAAAAACTTGGTTTAAACCTTTTTTTTAACATTATCTTTAATATGAACACAACATGTGTTGGGAGTTTGGGATCCCTTTAAGCTTTTATTATTTACAAAATGAACACTTACGCTTTACATCGCAACTCCCAAGGGGTTTAAAATAATTTATTTTTTAAGTTATGATTGTTTACAAAGAAGAAAATTATATTATATAAATATGTCACCTTATTTATTCTTCATTCTTCAGTCTTCTTTATTTTTTAGACAAACAGTTTTCATACAAAATCGATAAAAATATAATTTACAGATTTAATAGGCAAATATTTGATTCAATTATGCATGTAATGTATGTTAAAAATGGAAATGCCCATATATGTGTGTGTATATTACATTTTCTTACATATCATTAAATTCTCTACCTCAATAAATCTCTTATTCATCATTGTATGAAATACTATTGTTATAATTGGGCTAACTATTCTAATAAGACCCTCTTTCTTTAATCAAAGTGCAAAATGGCATTTTAAAAGTTATTAGACCTCCTCTATTGCCAAGCTTGTTTGTTCCCTTGAACTTTTGGAAACATTGAACATTGAACACCATTGGGGGTGGGGTGGTGGTGGCAGGGGTGTAACACCCTCTATCAATGATTTTTTCGTTCATTTAGTCGGCAAATTTGACCCTTTTTGACTAGTTAAATTAGGTTTTGAGCCCCATTGTTGTATAATGTTAATTCATTAATATCATTAATATTGTTAATATCATTAATTTTTTTTTTCTACAAATGCTACTATGTTTGTTACTTAAACTATCATTACTTTTTTCATCAACCAAAACTTGTTCTTGTCAGACATTCAGCAAAGTCTTTCAATTTTAAAAACTTGTTTTAATTTAACTTTTTTAACTATTTAAAAGATTTTGGTATTTGATATTGTTATTAAGCAAGAAGGAATGGGAAATATGACATGTTACAACAAAGGTTAATAATTAGGTAACATTGTGTGACATCATTAAAGAGAAATGATTATATTATACTAGACAGAATAAGACAAATATACATACATGAACTGACAGGTTAGAATGTGGCAGGTTGCATCAAGGTATGAAGAATATACCATGACAAAAAAAAACTTATTTTTTTGATTCTTTTTTGTGTTGTTATTATTTTTATTTTTATTTTTTCAAATGTCTGCATTTATAGTTGCCACTTCAGGAGCTATAGTTGGAAGGAAATATTATTTCCAAGCTAATGGTAATACACTATAGTAAATTATATATATAGTACTTACCCTAATTTATGTTGGTCATCAGCAAGTCCAAGAGGTGTCAAGGATAATGCACCAAGTTGCAACAACCTATAAAGTTTTTTCCCAATAAAGTTAAATCTAAAAAACAAAAAGTAAAAACTTTTTTTCAATACTAACATATAAATAAATATTTATATGACATATTTATAAATATAAGCATTTACATTTGTTCCTTAACCTCTGTTCCAGACTCAGCACTAGTCTCTGCACAATTTCTGTAGCAAGTGTTTTTACACTTTTTATATACATTTAATATCTAAACTTTATTTTTTTATGAATTTTAGTCACCGCAAATTAAAATATCATAAATAATATACAATAACAAACTCAAACAGGTTTTGGTAAAGCTAGTGCTTTTTGAGCACCCAAAAAAAGTGCACAAAAAATTATTTACTCTTTTTTTCTAAAATTAAGTAATACAAAAAATGTTTAAAATGCAGTACTTAATAAAAACTGTTTTTTCTTTATTCTAAACTCTTTTCTTTAAAGAATTAAAAAATTTAAACTTAAAAAAGTTCAAAATAATTCATTTCAAAAATTAATATTAAGAAGTAAAATGGGGCAACATTGACACATCTTTAGTAAATAGTTTTTTTTTAGCTGTGACAAACTAAATTTGGTATGCAATATTTTTATGTGTTTACCAATGATATTGCTGCCATTAACTGATGAAGATTTTAATTAGTTATCTAATACTATTGATAGTTAATTTTTTTGTTGGGATTCAACTGTCAATGATACCCCTATATCTAGTAACATTGAAAGCTGTATGTTTTATGCTGTAAATGTGAAAGTTACATCATGAGGGCTAACATTATCATTAGAATTTTGACAAGCAAACAATAGAGAAAACATTTTTAATATATAATTTACACTTTGGTTTTAAAAATTAGCAGTAGGCCTATATAAGCAGGTAGGTACGATGTGAACATATTTTATTGTGTCATTTTTTCAGAAATTTTTTTTTATTTAAATTTAGATTTTTTTGGAGTTTAACTTTAATTCTGCACTGAAATATTTTTTTTTAATTTTTTTATAATGAATTTATTTTTTAAAACTTTCTTGTTGTTTGTGCATCAGGTATGTATTGAAGGAATGCTAAGACTTTTTTCTAATATAAACAGACATCAGCAAACCCTTTCTTCTTGCTATCTGCCAAATTTCATAAAAATACACCCCCAGACACCCTACTAACTCACCCAAAATAGGTACTTATTTTTAACTTACTATACACCCAAGTAGCTCTACTATACACCCAAGTAGTTAGGGGACGGTAAACATTTGATTATAAATAATGTTTAAATATATATTATTATATAAAATAATATTGAGTAGTATATATAAAGTATATAAAATATAAAAAATATTTTAAAAAGTTCAAATCTTTAATAAAAAATCAAAATTTAAATATATTAAAGGATATTATAGATGCCGTTTTAGCGTCCTGCATACACCTTTTATGTATTCTCGTTCTCCTTTTTAAGACGTCTCTTTTGATACCAAGTTTTGTGAATTTTGATAATAATTGACAAAGTTATGACATTTAAAGTTAAGAAAAAGTCTTTTCGTCATCGTTTAACAAATCCATATATCAAAAATTTGACACTCAAAATGCTATAGCTTTTAGTAGAACTATTTAATTGTAATAATTTTTTCATCTGTAATGAAGCTTTTTCTAGTGATAAATAACAATCTATTATTTGATTAATTTAAAAATTTTATATCACATACCTAATACAAGGTAAAATAGTGTAACATTGACACATCTTTAGAAAACATATTTTAAATCTTTTTGTGACATTTTCATCAATTTTCTCCTGAAACCTCTCTACATGCTGATACTCAAACCACTTCCCTGAAAAATGTTGTTTGATACAACATTTTTTCTAATCTCTGTTTAAAACTATGGCTCCATTTCTTGTCTTGTTAGAGTCATACCGCACATCCATCTGATCATCTTTTCTTTCAGCAAATACTACATATAAATATTAAAGTTTATACAAATATGTAAAGCACATAAATAACTACCGAGCATGTATATATTTATATATATATATATATATATACTTGCTAGTTTTTTAATATAATCAGAAACCAAAAAAGCCATTATTTTATCTAAAATTAAAGAGCTAAAATCTCAAACAGGTCTCCTTACAAAAACTTCATTGAAGTTAGAAAAAGAGTTTGTATTAAGTGTGGAACGAACCGAAAAAGAAAACAATATATAATTGGTCAGCAAAGCAAATGCTTTAAAAAGGCAAAGTGAGAAGAAAATGAAAGACGCTTTACATATTTGAAAGTAAAGCAGCAACTAAATAACTAGCAAATACATATATATTTATATCCATATATATCCATATTATGTATGCATAAATATGCCTCTTACCTAATCTCCTGGATCCAAACAGGTATGGAAGCTATTCTTTTTTATTCTTTTTTGTTGGGTTCAATCAAACCTTATTCTACTTGTTATACTGTAATCATCTTTTTACTGTAATTTATCTTTTTTACAAAAATATCTTTCAGCAAATATACAATTTTAGTCAATTAAATTACTTAAGTCAATTAAATTACTAAAAGTTGGGAGTTCTAAAGAAGATATTGAGCTAATTTTTTATTTATTTGTGAGAAAATTTTTTGTTGCATATATCTTGAGAACAAATATCTTTTTATTACTGCAAGAAGTCAATGTAAAAAGGTTCTGTCTGATGCTAAGTTCTGTTAAGGTGAGTTTTTACTCATCTGTTTTTCTACAGGAACAGGATAGGAAAGAGAAAAATAGTCATGTGAGTATGCGTTGTTTTATTAAAACTTATAATATGACAAATTAAAACTTATAATATGCATGTCCACGTCATTATTTTTTCTTTCCCATTCCTGTGAAAAAATAGAACTCACTTTTTTTCTCAATTTACTAAATCTTATTTCAGATGGTTATATTTATCATTTTACTTATTTCAGATGATTATATTTATTATTTCATTATTCTCAGTTTACTAAACCTTATTTCAGATAATTAAATAATTATTTTATTATTTTACTTATTTTATTTTATCTCAGATTTTAGATGCTGAGACTTTTAGAAAGTCTTCAACAGAGTCATAACTAAAGTGAGTCTAACATTCCATCTCTAATTCATGGGCCTGATCTAATTACTTCTTCCTAGAATAAGGCTGAGTTATTTCATAGAACTTTTCCTCTAATTTGACTCTTGAATCTGATGGTCATTCCAGTTAAACAGATTAACCTCTTCCAACCATTCCAGTTAAACAGATTACTTTATTGTTAGACTAACTAGTCACTCTGGCTACCAATGCTAAAGTCAATTCTCAATTTTAATCTTCTATGGCTTTTGGATCAAACAACATTTCCATCAAAGTCTTACAAAAGTGTTCTCCAGAACTTTCTTCAATTCTCACTAAACAATTAAGTGCCCAATAAGTGGTTCCAATATTTAAAAACTTAAGAAAACACTCTGAGCTTTCCAACTATCCTTCGATTAGTCTTTTATCTAGTATTATTTTATCTAGTATTATCTAGTTTTATCTAGTATTATTTTTTATCTAGTATTATTTTATTACTTACTTTTATCTAGTATTATTTTATATTATCTAGTATTATTATATATCTAGTATTATTATATATTATCTAGTATATTATATCTAGTATTATATTTATCTATATTTATCTAGTATTATTATATATTTATCTAGTATTATTATATATATTTATCTAGTTATCTAGATATATTTATCTAGTATTATTATATATCTAGTATTATTATATATATTTATCTAGTATTATCTTTATCTAGTATATTCTTTATCTATATATATATTTATCTAGTATTATCTTTATCTAGTATTATCTATTTATCTAGTATATATCTTTATCTAGTATTATTATATATATTTATCTAGTTATCTAGATATATTTATCTAGTATTATTATATATTATTATTATATAATCTAGTATTATTATATATTATCTAGTATACTTTTATCTAGTATTATTTTATCTAGTATTATCTAGTATTATTATCTAGTATTTTTGATTGCTTAGAACAAGCTCAGAACAAACTGGTAACTAACTATTGCAATATTGTAGACATTCTATTATTGACAAATAACAACCACCTCACTCTCAGACAAAGTTCAATACCACATTCTAAATGTAGCTGGACCTACTTCCAAGCTTGAGTTGAACTGCTTTATCTTTTGAGCTTGAGTGAAACTTGAATTCAAAGATTATCTATCTTTATTTTATACAAAGTGTAATAGCTGAAAATTTTTAATCAATGAAATTTCAAATAACTTTAATATTCTTTTTTTTTTTTTTTTTTTTTTTGCAGAGTTAAAAAATAAAATAGCTTAATAAATAACGAATGAGAGAGTTGTTCAATTGGTTTAATAAAAAAAGAAACTTGTCATAAACAAACTTATGTGAAGTCAAAAGATGTCACGAAAGTTTGTAGTCTCAATGATGTAGATAAAAATTTGATAACTAGTTGTTGTGGGATTGAAATGGATGAATATATATAGTCTAAGATCTCACATGCAACAACAACAGAACTTAGATAACCTTTAAAATAGATAACCAGAATTTAGACAACCATCAAATACTCCAGATAACAGAATTTAGATAACCATCAAATACTCCATTATTTTTGGGCTTTATATACTTTTTGGCTGATCCCTAATCTTAACTTTTAAATAAGGGATCGTCCATAAATTACGCAACGCTAAATTTCACTAATGAACAAAACAAAAAAGATCAAAATTTTCCCTCGCAAAGTCATATGTTAAATAAAAAATTAAAATAGCTCATTAAGTTTAATGAAAATCGCCACCTAAAGGAACAAAAGATCTACTTCGACTTTTTTTAAAATAAATTGAGCGTTGCATAATTTATGGGCGATCCCTTAGCGTTCTATAGTCTATAGTTTTTAATAGTCTAAGATCTTCTTAGTTCTGCTATTTGGATAGCGTTGCATACTAATGTCTGTAAGTGTAAACGTCTTTAGAATATGTTGAGTTTGCAGGCAGTATATGGAACAATGGGTATTATAAATTTATAAAAATGAGAAAACTTTTGAATTTTGTTTTAACAATTAAAAATCTTTTTTGCTATATTAATATTTTTTTTCTATAAATATTGCTATAAATACAGCAAGATTAAAAAAATTCAATCTTGCTGTATTTGTCATTAATCCCCCAAAATGACACTGATGATTGCACATTAAACCACTGAGCTATCAATGATATGCGTTTAAAAATAAACCTCATTAAAAATCTCTTATAACCTCTAGGTATGCTGAAAGGATGTGCATGTTAATTTTTTTGCTATTAAAGCAATTTTTTAAAATGAGTTATTCTACATAAAAATATTATAGTAAATAATAGGTATAGAAATGATCGGTGTGGAATAAATAAGTATAGGATTGGTAAATTTGGTAAAGACCCGTATTTTATGGGTCCGGAAAATTAGGATATAAATATAAAGAAAAAAGTATAGAAAAGGTCAGTATGGAATAGACTAACAAAGACCCGTTTCTTATGGGTCAGATCAGCTAGTATTTGATTGTTAGTATAACATTACAAAAAATTATAATTACTATAAAGTAAAACAAAACAATATGTACACTTCCTTACTTTAAGTATGATGAATCACCAAGTCCTAAAACAGCTATGTATAAACCCTTTAAAGAATCTTCTGGTAGATTTTTTCGAAGCAAAAACATCCAGAACTTCTATTTTAAAAAAAATAACAAAACGCTTTTGATTTTATTTTAAAAAAATATTAGTGCAAAAAACGTATTTTTAAAAAATTAGTAAAAACAGAACCAAAAGAAAATTATAATGTGTAATCAGAATATATTACTTTCATAAGCTATGAGGTCCTTACATTAAATATTTGCAAATAATTTATTAAATTATATAAATTTAATATTAAATTAAAGTAATTACTAGGTTGAATCAAGTCTGTTTTTTTTTATTTAAAAAAAAAAAAGTTTTATTAAGAAATAAATTTATATTATAAGTAAACAATAAAAATATATAAATAATCAATCAATAAGAACTTAATAATTTATTAAAATATTTTCTGGCACTAATTGTGTTAATTAATCTGCTTAATCTGTTTTACTGATCAGAGTATTAGACAGGATCAAATTCTTTCCTGCATTTATCTGCCATTTTAAATTATTGTCTATACTTCTCTATCTTACATTCATTTTACAAATTTTAATACATAATTATTTTTTAATTATTTTTTTTTTTAATCAAGCAGATCAGCCATGTGCTTGAAACAGATCAATTAACAAAAACAATTAACACTATAAAAACAATTAACACTACAAAAATTATATTTGTTCAAATACTTTTATCAGCTCAATTTTAAATGAATTTAGTAATCCAAAACTATTGCTTAAAAACATTTTAAAATAATACTTTTTTCATGCGCAAATAACACAGGTGGAGTATATGCCATTTACATATGATTTACATTTGTATACTACAGTAAAATAGAAAGATTTCTTGTCTTCCTGAAAAATGTGCAAAAAAGTGAAACAAAATATTATCTGTGTACAATCTGCAAAAAAAATTTGTAAACCATAAAATCGTAAATGCGAACAGTGCAAGATTCTTAACTAATAGTTTTTTCATGTAAAATTTGTAACTTTATGGTTTATAAAGAATTTTTTTTTCTTCTACATTTGTTCTAAATTGTTTCTTTCTTTTCTTTTTTTTGATTGTTATTTTTAAATCAAAAATTTCAATTTCCTAAGTAGTTTTTTTTTTTAATTTTTTTATTTTAATTCACTCTCAGGCTGCAAGAAACCACTATTAAGTTGGGTGTTAATAGAAAACAAATAATACAGTTAAAGAGCAAGGAAATGGTTGACAGAAGATTTGAAAAGTTGAAGGTTGTATGAGTCAGAAAAACATGAAGATGGAACAGAGTTTTAAAGGATTGAAGTGCGGTTAAAAAAAACTAGATGAAAAGGTTTTTAGAACATGTAGGGACAGATATAGAAAAAGGAAGCAACCTTGCTGAAAGACAAGTTAAGCAAGAATGAGTTTTGGTCAATGGAACTAGATATGATAGCTCCTTTAGGCAGTAACCATGATACTATTTGCAGAAAAGAGAAAAAGATGCAACTTTAAGACAATTGGAGAAAGGGTCAAACTTGGCTAATAAAGGAGTTCAAACTTCGTATACAATACAAAAAAAAAAAGCATCATTAGAAGAAGCAACTCAAATATAAAAACAGTACTTCATATAGGGATGACTAAAAGATTTGTAGAGGTAGAGAATAGAATCAGGAGTAAGAAAATGGCAAGCAAGATAAAGAGAAGCAACCTTAACAGATGCAAACTTTGCAACCAATTATATATGGTTTCCATAATAGGTCAGTAATGAACGATAACCAAAGAAGACACAGAGAAGACTCAGTGAAAGGATTGCCATTCATTAATATAGAAATGTTGACAGTGCTGCTTTAGTTGTTTACAGTAAATAACTGAGTTTTGTTAGAGTTAAAATTCACAACATACTGCAAGCTGTTGTGAATTTCAACTCAATGTATATATGTGTATATATATATATACATATATATATATATATATATATATATATATATATATATATATATATATATATATATATATATATATATATATATATATATATATATATATATATATATATATATATATATATATATATATATATATATATATATACAGGGGTGGGACCGCAAAATGTGAACACTTTTCTGATTGTAATAATTAATTTTCTGTTAAATATGAACTATTTTAAATGTTCAATTTTTGTTTTTTTACATATTATATTTTACTTTGTTTACATATTCATTAGTACTTTGTCTTTTGTTTTTTATCAAATAAACTCAACTACATCTAACGAGAAAATAGTTATAATAAAACAAAAACGTTCACATTTTGCGGTCCCACCCCTGTATATATATATATATATATATATATATATATATATATATATATATATATATATATATATATATATATATATATACCCAATCTGTTATCAAAGTAAGACCAGATTTAATATCGGTTCTCTGTTCAAAGCAATTGAAAAAAGAAGACTTTTTGGCAAGACAGGAGTATATAGTTGAGTTGCTAGGAAATAGAGCCACTATAGATGTAAGGTTGCCAGGAAGATCATTAATATAGATAAGAATAACAAAACAGGATCAAGGATAGAACCTTAACAAAAACAGGACCAAAGATAACAAAACAGGACCAAGGATAGAACCTTAAAGTACTGCAGAAGTTACTGGAAATGAAGATGAGTGTTGGTTTTTGAGGAGCACTTTAATAAAGTGGTTAGAAAGAAATGATTTGATAATCTCAAAACCTTCCCAGATACCCCAAACAAAGCAAGCTTATGGAGAAGATTAGCATCCCAAACTTTATCGAAAGCTTTAGATATGCCAAGAGCAATAGCCCTTGCCTCGCTGCCTTCATCTAATGCACAATAGAATGATTCAGTCACAGCAGTTAGAAAGTCAGCCATAGAAGAGAGAAAATTGCAATTAT